GGTGCACGACTCTGCTGGTTACTATTGCCATTCTGACCTTGTACAGGTGGAAAAGACATCTCTGGACCTGGACCCCCTTGTGGTAGATTCCCTCGAAGCTGCTGATCAACTGGAAGTCCCGCACTTACATCACTAGCCATAGGTCCCCTCCCATGTAGTCCTTGAGCTGTTGACTCTGTCCTTCCAACGTCCCGTTCAGGTACTGGAACATGAGTGCCTTCAGGTACTCCCGAACCTGGAGGTTGGCTATCATGAAGAGGTACTTGGGCTTGACTACCCGCAGATATGCCGGGGCCTTGAGGTAGATGGCCGGAAAAACTCCCTTGCGCTGTTTGAACCGGGGGTACACTGGGACTAGAAGGTAGAACACCTGGATTCGGTAGGGGAACATGATCTTCCCGAGGTACTCTAGGCCCTTGTGGTAGATGCCCTTGAAGCTGCTGATCAACTGGAACTCCCATGGTAGTCTCTCCGACCTCAGCATCTGAACCTCCCTCTCTAGTCGCAAGACGTGCTCCTGGTGAGGAGCTGTGTACTCATCCATCTGTTTTTGCACCTCCTGCTGTAATCGAGAGGAACGCTCGCTTTCCACTTCAGACCCTGGTCCATAAATTACAGGATTCTCACGCACTGACTGCCTCAGGTGTTCAATCTGTGTACGTTGAATAACGGCTGTTCCTGCGTTCTTGCTGTAGCCCATGACATAGGGATAAGTATATGCTCTCGGGGTTCCGGTAGTTCTTCGGGTGGTGAAAAAGTGACTTGAGCCTGAACCTCCGGTCCAGATTGAGTCCTCATAGTATGACCCCCTTGCACACCTTGGTGAATGCCTAGTGAATCAAGCATCCGATCCATCCCAGTCGCTCCTCTGTTCGCAGTAGTCCGTAGGAACTCTGTAAATCGAGCCATCCATCTTACTCCCTGCTGTTCTTGTCCCACACTTGACGTTCTACTTTCAGCAGAAAAAGAACTCTTGCACCGTCATAGAGCTCCTAGGGGTCTGAGGCGCAAACTCCGTCATCTCCCGCTCATTGACAACAGCCCTTGACTGCTGAACCGCAATCCTCTGCTGTTGCCCAGTTCCTGTTGGGTAGGGAGGATATTCAGGAGGTTGCAGGTCCTGTGCCACCACATCGCGAGCTCCTACTGATTGTTCCACAGTCATCACAGTTGGTGCCGGGTCCAAGAGGTTCGGATTATCCACTTGAACATCCCCGCTAGCACCGGTAGTCATCGGAACTTCGGAACTCACCCCATTTGGCAGCTGACCACTTGCACCCAGTGCCCCATAAGAGGCTGCCCTTGCGAAGTCGCCGTGGTTGCTTTGGGCGCTCATAACCTAATAATCTTTGGGTTGTCGAATTGTAGATATCGGGGTCCAAGGAGCTCCACAGAAGGACGTATGCAGCGATACAGCAGCGCCAACC